TTTATTTTCACCGTCTTTGTGTACTTTTTTCTTTTTTTTTTCTAAATACTCTAAATTTACTTTATGGGTGCTTATTTCTAAAGCATTTATATATTTAATTTTAATATTATCTAATATTTCATTATTGCTGGAATTGCCGAATAGTCTAACTTGGACTGATTGATTTAAATTATCTAGAGTTTTGTGGGGGTGATTTTATTCTTTCCTTGGGTACCATGCTAGCGGTGAGTACATTTAATAATATACAGAGCAAACTCGGTTCTCGAACGTCTCACATGTCGACTAAATCGGTTTTGGGACAGAAAATTCGAGATGAAAATAACTCGGTTATCGAACAAAATTTCCGTTCTCAAATAATATTGCCGGGTCGATTTAGTCCGAACGGAATCATTTCTGAGTCGACCACCGTGGTGTATACATTTGTGTGTTGTGCTGTGGTTTTCATTTCGAAATTTATTTTACTGTGAGATTTTTTTCTCTACATTGATTCTTATTGGTAAAATAGTTTCGGTTTACGAACATTTCGGGTTACGAACGGCTTTCGCGCTACAGAATCACATAGAACTGAACCAAATAGTTGAAGAAAACATCATTTGTGGACTTGTGGAATTAAATTCGTGAACCTAGGCTCCCCAATGTATGTATATATATATATATATATATATATATATATATATATATATATATATATATATATATATATATATATATATATATGTATGTGTGTCAATAATCCTTAATGAACTCATATATATATATATATTTATATATATATATATATATAAGTAGCCTGATGATTTCGACTAGCAAGAAACTCTCTGTCGCCTCCGAATGTTGACTTCAATGTTCACTTATACATATATATGGGAGGGGAGATTTATTCTTCCCTCTTCAGTCTCTTTCCCACATATCACTATTTTCGTGGCAAATTTTCGGATTTACTCCAATCTTTAATTCTACCTGTTTAGACCTCTTCAGCTAGAACACGCCATGTTACTTCCATGAGGTTGTATCACCCTCATTTCCTCCGTATTCCTCGGGTAATTAGAAAGTTCCACTCAGCTCCTTCTCTCGAGCAGACTTCCGCATGGATGCTTCCTTGAAGTCAAGGGTCAATCGTTTTATATCATCCTCATAATCTGTACTTCCCTCCCACCTTCTCTTCCATTCCTATCTCCCATCTCATTTATAATATTTTAAAAGTAACCCTGTATCTTCTGTGATTCCCGGGTCTTGTATTTGATGAAAATTAGTAAAAAAAATATCATTAAAAAGAGTAATTTCTAGATGACAATATTTACAATAGTGCTGAATTAAAACAAGCGTTACTGACAGAATTCATTCCGCTGTTATTGAGTCAAAGACTTTATCGTATTTCAAGCTTTAATTAGTAATTTAAACAAATTCCATATGAAAAACGTTTATTCGTCAAAATATATCCTATTCTATTCTATTCTATCATTGTGACAGAAGTTGAATACCGCGTTTATATTAGGTTGGTGCATAATTATCAAGCGTTTTTCAAGACTAGTTATTTGTTAATAAAAATTGTTGATTTGTTTACTTTTTTAAATAAAAATATTTTATTTTCAGGTTATAAGAATGTGTGCCGATAATCATACACTCCGGAATAATAATTTTAAAATGTTACTGTTGAATCATTTTACATTATTTGGACTAATGTCCTCATCTTTGTCGCCATGCTTATCACAACGTTTCGGCCATTGTACGCTCCAGCCTTCCTCGGGTGGTTGGAATGTCGAACTGAATCCTTTATTTTGCTCGTTGTGGTAGACTGTTCTAGTTCCACGTGCCATGTCTAATGGATCTTAGTTATCTCCTGTTAATTTCCCTTTCAAATGTTACCACCGCCTTAGCCAGGTATCACACTCTTTGGGTCCTGTCACTGGATCTAACTAACGCCTTTATCCACTGCGCCATGTGTCCTTGAGCACATTTGCGTATGAATTTCTGGGTATTATAAGCTTAATGTCTTCAGCAACCATTTTTCTATCAGTGCTCATATTGCAATTTTTGCTGCTATCATTGCTTTTTTTTACCAGAGCTCATATTGCAATTTTTGCTGTTATCATTACATGATCTCAGAAATATAGAGAGATACTGTTGACTTGTTATGTTTCTTTTTTCATGATAAATATTGTTTAAAAAACGCCTGATAATTATGCACCAACCGAATACTATATGGCTTGTTAAGAGGCCAAATGACTCTCTGCACACATTTTAAACCTCATCCATATTATTGATAATCTCCCCTCCCCCCAGGAAATAGCTCATGGCTCGGAGAACTCTGATGTTGAAAGGTTTGGACAGAAGGAAATTTGAGGTAACACCACTAGTTCTTCAAGTTGACGCTTGGTCACTTTAGCAGTGTGTGCTGAGGAATATTGTAGGAGTGTCTGGAACAATCTCATAGTGCAAGAACCATTCGAAATTCCACCAAACATACAAGATGACATTCTGTTCAAACAACGCTTGTTTTGAGTTTTTGGCCAAAACGAAACCAACGATTTCTCTTCTAAGGATTGCGAAAATAGTTTTTCATCCCCAGTTACAATTCGCCACCTAAACCGGACTTCTTGAGGAATTGCCAGCAGTTATTTCCAAATGTTCACATGTCTTTGAGCCTGATCATTGGTCAGTTAATGAGAAACTTCTCCACAGTGCTTGTTCACATGGCCGAGCTTATGTAGTTGTTGATGATGCTTTGTGAAGAACCAAATTCTGTCTTTAATGAATTTGTGCTTGTACTAGTTAAACAATTTCAAGCAAGGCCTTATCTTACACAAGAGAAGGTCTCCTTGGCCTTGATTTGTCTTCGAGGCCGGCGTCACCTTTCTTGATTTGTCTTAACCAGTTTTGTATATGATGTGTCCCCGAAATGGATATATTTGTTCGAAGTAGCAAAGTGGTTGTTGACTACTGTAAACGGGTAGGACAATCTAGCAGGTAACCGTAATGGACTGGTCCTCGTCGTAGTGGTAGGCAATAGGAGTAGGCAATAGGCGTCATCCCTGTACCTCCACATCAGTCTGTATTTATGGCTGACACCAGCCAATCATATTACTGTGAGGGGGAACCCAGGTTTATGCATATTCATTACATCAGTATGGTACATTCATTGACAGTTCCTTGGCCTTCTGCATCATTCATTTCTTTTGTCATTGCCTTTACCCTTTTTCAACAGGTAGCGTAAAATGGCTTTAACTGCATTTTTTAAACACACATTATCAATGTTGTAAAATAAAGAATAAACAAGCGTTGATTGTATGTTTTGCATGTGAAAATAAAGAATAAACAATTCAGCAACAATTTATGAAAATAAAGAATAAACAATGCCGCCAAAAATTATGAAAATAAGAATAAACAATTCAGCAACAATTGAACAATAAATCACATCAAATTAATAATACAACATGGGGTACAAGTTGACAAAAATTATCATTGAAAATCAAAAAATCTTTTGATTCAACCTGCTATATAATATATACGTCAGTAGAAATAAACATGTCACTGTGTCAGAAGATTATTAAAATAAACAAGAAAATATGTCGATTTGATTGAGGAATAGATCTGATAACTGACAAAAGCTAATGGTTATTGTAACTTTAACCGTTTCCTTATAAGGAAACATTCGGTATTTAATGACCGAGCAGCAACGACTTTGCCAAATTGTATAAAATCACTCTTAAAACAATTTATCGAGAAACAGGTTTCTCAATTTCAGTAGCTGTTATCGCTCTTTCCAGTATCGATGGGAGTTTCCTTCCTAACCTATTGTTTGCGGTAGTGTGGAACGTCAACATCTTGATTATGTCATTATTTTCTGTCTGAGTTACATGTGATTTCCATTTTAATTGTTGCTCTCGTAGAAATTCCACAAGTGATGTTTTCTTCTGCTATTTGGTACAGTTCTTTGTGATTGTGTAGCGCCAATCCACAATAAGTGAAGAACTGAAGACTCATTTGTTCCACTCGTTGATCTTAGAAAGCAGTTGCATGCAGCTGACAATTTAGATATTTCTGAACCTGTTTGACGCCATACAAGAAAAGTGCAGACTGAGCAAAGGTTAATGTTGAGTTTATGGTAACTCAGATTCTACTTTTCGCCTTGCATCGATGGTTGACCTTTGGCCTGTCGTTATAGCGTCTCCACAATGTCTGATTGTAGAGGTCAGAGAAGTTATTACATTCAGTTGAGCTGAGAATCATGAGCCATTCTTTAAATGGATTCACCGATTTTATCAATGTAAAGCAATGATTCTCAACGTGAGGCGCTTGGTAATATTTTGGTGGGGTGTGCGTAGGATGTGCACCCTTCGGTTTAAATCAGCTCAAATTTCATTTTGTATTATTATTTCAGGATTAAAATGGTCAAAGTATATTACAGAATAAGCCTTCATTCAAATATTTCATATTTCTTCTTTTCATTTCTCTATATATATTTAACAATTTATTTTTAAAATTTTTCTGTCATGGACGCCATGTTCTTTGGAGGTTTGTTTAGAGACCAATTTAAAGGCCTTTTAAGGTTCCTTCACGTGAATTGCAGTAAAATTTTGAATATGTACGAATTAAATATTATAGGGAGACATCAGAATTTTAGAAATATCAAAGTGGGTCATGGCCAAAATTCGGTTGGGAACCACGAATGTAAAGTATCTGTTACTGGCGTGCGATGCTTGACCATAAAGAGAGACATGGAGAGAGAAAGAGAAAAAGAGAGTCAGCAAATAGTATATCCAATCGGCAGCCATTTAAATATCCAGTGTAGCTGTACGTGTTTTACGATTGCATCAGTCGCTGTTGGTTGCTTAGGCGTGTGTGTGAAAAGAGTGCTGACGAAAATAATCAGAAAAGGAAGAAATTCATTACAAAAGACAAGTGTAAAAATATTATGACTTCTTAATCTGTCAAGTCACGAGTTAAGCAACGTCGAGACTGGTCAGTAACTAAATGGGTGACCGTGTGGGCATACGGTTTACGACCACTTCAGATTCAAACACAGGTTCCCGTACGATCACCGAAGTTAAGCAACGTCGAGCCTGGTCAGTACCTAGATGAGTGACCGCGTGGGAATACCAGGTGTTGTATGCTTCGATGTGCAACTGGTGTAATGAATAATTGCTCGGAATTGTTAATCGGAGAGTCGAGTTTTCGTACGATCACCGAAGTTAAGCAACGTCGAGCCTGGTCAGTACCTAGATCGGTAACCGCTTGGGAATATCGGGTGCTGTAAGCTTGCGAGCCAGTTGATGGTACTATGATTTGCTCACTTGCCAGTGAATTCGTGGAAAGTTATAATTTTCGTACGCTTCCTTAGAGTAACTTTTATCGCAGACAATGGCCATAGGACAACTAACTGACAGTCAAGACAATAGTGTTTGGGCGTGATAAAAATCTGATGCAGTCACGGATGATGCAATATTTTTTCAAGGCCCCCCCAAAATTTCATCATACACACCAATGCAAATGACCTAATCTGAGAAAAAAATAGAAATCGATTACACCCTGTGATTGCAGCGGGTCATAAAGTCACATAAAGTGCTTGTGTTTTTGAAACAGAGTTCGATGTTATATAACAGAGATGAAAAACATATATATGAATATACATATATCACACCGTTTGCGCTACCCGGAGTTTCATGCCAAACACAGTTACCCTCAGCATCTGAAGACTGCGTTTGGCATGAAAATCCGAGTAGTGCAAATGGTATGAAAAAATTATATATATATATATATATATATATATGATCTCGTTTCTTTTTCAAACTTTTTGGCCTTTGCTTTTATCCCTTTTTTCAAACAGAAGTTACATAAAAAATTGTCCTCACTGTCATTTTTTTTAACCAACATTGTTTTAATTAGATCAATTTTTATATATATATATATATATATATATATATATATATATATAGATATAGATATATATATATATATTAAAGTGAACCATTCATAAAAAAGTAGATTAGTAAAGTTAATGATATAAGATGCCGAAATCCCTTCGCAAACAAAATTTTAAACAGGCATTAACTTACAAATCACTTGATAAATGTTATGATCCTTGCTTTTAAAAATTAAAAGCTGTATAAGGTCTTTCTTTAATACGCAAGTATTTTCAGTCATCTTAAGGCATGGAAATTATTTTCTTTTTGGTAAAATTCAGCTAGTATCGGAGACGAAAAAATTAAATGCGAACTGAAGTATGTTTTCTTTCAAATGTGTTATTGTTAACGGATACAAACTTTTGAAGCGTACAGTCGCAACGATAAGATTGAATATTTTTGAAAATTTAAGAGAGTCTATTTTTTTACTAATATAGCAATATGATAATTTTTATTTATTTATTTATTTTTGTTGTAGGAGTTTATCAGTCAATGTGGCATGAACTAAATAGTTCAATAAATAGAGTAATGTCTCAGTTGTTATCCTAAAAAATTTGCACGTCGGATCAGTTCTTTTAAATCAAATATGAACAGCACCACATATTTGATATATATATCTATATATATATACATATATATATGTATATGTGTGTGTGTGTGTATGTGTGTGTGTGTGTGTGTCATCATCATCATCATATGTATAGATGTTCTGAAAAAACCGTTGAAGTTGGCCTACGTACGCCATCTCAAGGTTGATTTGGTACTGTCTACTTTATCTACTCACGTAATGGCCTCACCCTCGCTTTTAGACGTCAAAAGAAATATATACCGCCGAAGGAAAAGATCGGGTCCCTTCCTACCATTTCCTTTTACTTGACATGAACTAACTCTTCGCCCTAAATTCGAACAAAGTATGCGTACGCTAGGATGTGCTCACTGTATTACCCTTGAACATTAATGGCTTTTTTGTCCATCACTGGGCGAAGGAACGGTCGGACGGATGAGTAAAGCGGATGTAAGAAATGGTCACTCCTTACTTCCATTTGCCACTGGAAGGTAATGGCCGCTGGTGACGCTCTCCATTCTGGAGATAGAAAAGGAAAGAGGTAGACACTCGATAAATTAGTTTAAAAACGACTATGGGCTTGTTTTGATTGACAGGCTAGTACTTATTTTTACGCAGTTTTAGTTACGTGCAGCTAACAATGCCGCTTCTTTTTAACTTTTTCCTCCATTCTGTTTTTCATTCATTATATATATATATATATATATATATATATATATATATATATATATACATACATACATACATACATACACACACACACACACATATATATATATATATATATATATATATATATATATTGTATTTTTGCTATTAAATCAACAGCAGTTTATCTTTGTTTTCGCTTGCTTTTTTTTTCTTCTTATCGATCTTGTTCTCGCCCTATGCACGAGACGTGATTGACCCGACCAGATTCGACATATTATTTCTTTTCCCTATTCTCGAAATGTATCCCCTCTCTCTTCGAGAAAATAGGATATTAGACAATGCAAAAGAATAAAAGTCAAAAGAATAAAACAATTTCGTACGAATTCTGTTACATTTAAAACTATAACAAACACATTTCATTTCTTAAAGTTTAATCAGACTGGAGATATAGTGTCCAAAATTATTAGATTGGTGGTGTTTTACAATAGGCAATACGACCAGATTTTCTTTTCATTTCTTTTTGTATTATTATACATTAATCAGCCCAAACCACGAATAAAAAAAAATTAATTTTATATAAATTAATAGATGGTCCAGTTTGCTTTGCAAATTTATTTACAATCGATCACGCTGTTATGAATCAAAATTGGTCTCCCCTTATTTTGTTACTCTCCTCTATGAGAGAGCTCTTTCTGTTTACTGGGACTATAAAAGGACACTATACGCGAACCTTTTATTCTCAGTTGAATAAAGCTCTCTTAAAGCCTACACCCGCGTGCTTTTGTCATTACACACGCTTCGAAAGCCGAAACAAAATCTGCTCCTACCATGTTATTTCTTAAAATTTGTAAAAAATTTGGAATTCTTTCTTTTTCTTGTATAAATATGCATTTTTGGCTATCTGTCTAGACACATAGCCAAAAATGCATATTTATTAAGAAATGAAATTTTCAACAATATTTTATTGAGTTGGAATATAAACAAATAATCCCTGTAATGACAAAAGTACGCAGGTGTAGGCTTTAAGAAAGCTTTACTCAACTGAGAATACAAGGTTCACGTATAGTGTCCTTTTATAGTCCCAGTAAAAAGAAATAGCTCTCTCGAGGAGAGTAACAAAAAAAAACGGGAGACCATTCTTGATTATTCTTAACTACTTTTTCAATATGATTTTCATCATTTCTGATGCAAGGTTGATGTGCTTAGAATGATTCACTTGAATTCAATGCAATAACTCCACGTCGCCGTCAATTTTAGCATATTCACTCTTTATGCGTTCACTCAAGTGTGTAGCATCTGTGATGCTCATTGAGTACACCTTCTCCTTTAGTATACTCCTGAAACAGAAGTCAACTTCTTCTTTCGACAAAACCTTGTTTAAACTGTGGAGATCAAAAATATAGTTAATGAGATTTCGTGTGTCCAGATTTAGGGACGCCTCGTTCTATAGATTAAACACTCCATATTATATGAATTTTAAAAAAAATATTACTATTATTATTTCATTTTTAAAACATCACGACCTATAAACTTAATCTATAGTAATATGGAAAAAAAATATAAAAAAATAATTATTTCTCGTCAAAGAGCTTCATGTACAACTCATCCCTTTAAGAATGCATTGTGGGACATTTTGCCTCTTTTTGCGCGCTTCGTAGAAGTAGTTATCCAAATTTCTCAGCAAAACTGTGTCATTATTATTCATTTTTGACTAGTTTCTATTCCATCTTATATAAAACTTATTATAGAAAAAGGTACGACTCCAGAGCGAAGATATTTCTAAGTAATCTTTAAAAATTAGGAAAATATTCTACGTCGTCTGTTTTATTGAATTTTAGGTAATTTGACTTTAAATTTACTCCAGTTATCGCTTTTATTTTCTGAAAATATCGCGTATGGACTTTCGTATTTACAAGAATCGGTACGTTTATACACACACAGACGCCAAAAAATTCAAAATTACATTTAAAATATTGGGGGTAGCCTTATTAATTATGATTAATAAATATTGTTTCTACTTAATAATATCACCTAATCCGTACAGAAAAGATTCTTAAGAAAATAATATATCATATCCATAAAAGCAATTGAAACCTTTTCTAATTAAATAATGTCTTATTTTTATTGCATTTGTTTTATTTTAATGAGAACTTCAGATGGGACTTTTTCGATAAAACTTTTTTCTGTCCTTATTTTGGCGACACTATATCAGATAAAGCGTAAATTTCCTAAAATTCAATTAAATTAAATTACCTAAAATTCAATAATGTGTTAGTTTTATTGCACTTTTTATTTTAATGAGAACTTCAGATGGGACTTTTTTGATAAAACTTTTTTTCTGTCTCTTTTTATGGCGACACTATATCAGATAAAACGTACTAAAAAAAAAAAAGATAATTTATTAGGAAAAAAAAAAGGCTTGAGCAACGAACACGATTTCAATATTATTTTCAGCCAATCAGAAGGACGGAATCTGAAACCCGAGACAGTTTTGATAAGCAGTTTCTGAGCCAATTTCAACACATATAAGGAGATCCGTCAACTAGATTCATCACTATTCATTGACCTTCTCAAGGAAAGATGAGATCAGGAGATCAATTATCTTTCAGTAGTAATAGCTGACACCTTATTCTTTTTATCAAGGACTTATAATTTCAACTTGTACTATAAGTCCCCACTTTCTTATGAACATTTTTCTAACTTAATATCTTTAAGCGCTCAAAAGAATATTTTGCGCAAACTCCGTTTTTTGTTTCTCATTAATTAGTGTAAATAGATATTTCTTTCTCTGGTGTAAAAGTGTCTAATTCATAATCCATTTTGCATATAGATAAATCCCTATGCTTATTCTGGTTGCTTAGTTACGTCTAGCAGTAATAGTAGACGCAATAGTTTCAAGTTATTATTTCTTTTTTTATTTTAAAGATTTTCCGACGACCGTTAAATAAAGTGTTTGTATTAAAATACAAACTTCCTATGACGCTAACTTGGGGGACTTACCTGAAATGGGATGGTTTTTCAATTAGTCAACGGAAACTAACAATAATTTATTTACATAGATATAGTATTCATTAGAATAGTCAATGTACACCATATAAGTATTTTTATCCATATCATCTTAGGATTATTAGATGTAAAAGTGTGTTTATCCGCGGGGAAAGAACGATCGGCGAATCAAACTCAAATTTTTCGTTCCCTCAATTGAAGGCCCAGTTGACACTCAAGGTAGAGGGATCGTGAATGAATTTTGCTACGTAAATGTAAGAGGAAGACGCAAGTGAAGATTATAGGATGGATAATACGGCAGTTCGATGAAAATAGATCTCTTTAGGTCTTTCGGTATATCCCCATGTTTGTAAATTTCATTATTTTTTTTTTCTGTAATCGTCTCTATGTCGAAATCGTCTAAGGCTGCCAGCATCTTTATTACAAATCCGTCAGGCCCTGCTGCTTTGTTTTTGTTCAATTAGAGCGATGCCAGCTTCCAGTTCGGTTTTTAAATATTTCCGGTCCGTATTTCAGTGTATTGCTCGTTGTTCTCTATTGTCGTGGAAATGTTCTACAATATACTCCTCCAATCTCTAAAGTATTTCTTCTTTCTTTAATATCAGATTTCGTGCATTGATTTTATGCAGCCTGTTAATAAGCATGTCTTTTATTCCGTTAGTTCTTTTATTTTTTATGCATATCTCCTTTATCTGTGATACTTATTTTGTCTAATTATGCATAATTTTCGTTGAGCCATTCTTCTTTATCCTGTTTGCCATCGTTCCTTTTTTCTTTGTGTAGATTTTTTTTGTATCCCATTCTTTGTTTTGGCATTGTTTTCTATCTCTTTTGCATTATGTTGAGGATCTCATTTTTCATTCATTCGTTTTTTCTTTTTTTATTGTTTTTTGTTCTGTTTTCTTTATTCCATTTTTTTGTTTTGATTTTGTTTTCTGTCTCCTTTGCATCATGTTGAGAAACTCAGTTTTCATTCATTCGTTTTTTTTTTGTTTTTTGTTTTTGTTTGTGGGGGGGGTATTTTTTTCGTCCATTTTCCTTTGGGATGATCTCGTTTGCTGATGTCACTAAAGCTTCTAGGGAATGTAGCTCGTTTGAAAAGTTGCCATGAAAACAGCGATGCAGTAGCAATAGGCTTGCAACTGTACGTCTGTGGAAAACGAAGTCGTAGAGAGGGAAAGAAATATCTCGTTTACAGTCGTTATTCTCTCTTTTTTCCAGCTTCCAGTTGAAAAGAATACTTTTCAACTGGAAGCTGGAAAGAGAGGAGATGGCGGCCCATATCGGGCAGCAATACTCTGCATTTGACTGCTGAGAATACCTGCCTAGCGTATTCGCCTCATTTTTGAACCCTTGAGAAAACGACCTGGGTATGACGATAAACTGCATCCGCGCCTTGGGTAAGACGATAAACTGCATCCGCGCCCTGGGTATGACGATAAACTGCATCCGTGTCCTGGGTAAGACGATAAACTACGTCCACTAGCAAGGCCTCTGATCAGGAGGTTTTGAGGAGCGTGGAACCACCTCTCAATTGCTGGTGTTCTCAGGTCCACCCTAACCCGAGATGGTAGCACCTGTTAGGGTACCATCTATGAGAAAATAGCTGACCTCGCAACCTGACTCAAAACACTATGTAAGCGTAAAAATAGATTTTAATACCAGAAATACTTTTAAAAGAAATTAGTATCACCCATAAATATTTGAAAAAAGAAAATATTAACAGAAATAAAAATCTTGTCGGCATAAAATAACCCATTGAGGTTAATATACCACAAAACAAAACAAACCAAACTATACATTTAAAAAAAATATTACCAGCTATACATTTCTGAAAAAATTACCAGCTATAGATTCTTGAAAAAAAAAAGAAGGAAATTTTGTCGGCATTAAATAACCCATTGTGGTTGATATGCCGTAAAACAAACCAAACCAAACCTTGAGAAAAGTATGAACCTGTCTCTCCTCCCTCCAAGCTACGGGGTAAACAGTAGGTTTGATTGGGCTCTTGTGTGAATTTTTTTTCTTTTTATATGCCGTGACCCTTCAGGAGGTAGGCGATCATGGCCCTCCACTTCCACCCTATCCCTTATAGTTCTCAATAAGCTTTGTCCCTTCGTTACTTCCTACAGGCCATGTTCTGTCATCCACTTGTTTAAACCCGCTCGGTATGTCACGGGTTGCTTTCCCTTGTCTCTCTTTTGCGACCAGATTCTCCAAGCCTTCCTTTCTCATTACGTGTCCCAGAAATTTTATCTGCCTCTTCCTGATATTAAGTATAAGCTTAACCATCTTTGAATCCTCTCCAAGACTTCATCGTTGCTCACGCGCCTCTCGGTCTATGATATCCTCAGCATCCTACTGTGGAACTACATCTCCGTCACCTCTAGTCGCTTCTTCATCTTTGAGGAGACCGTTCAACATTCGTTGCCTTATAGGAGGACAGATGTCACGTAACAGCTCAGTACACTTTTCTTTGTTATCAAAGAAATCCTCCTGGATCGCAATACTCTGGTCAGCTCTTGGAATTTAGTACCATGGGAAAGGTGAAGTGAAGACCCCCCACAATATACTGACAAAAAAGCATGGCGATTTACTTGTAATGAAAAGGGATCTGTGGAGAGCCGTGATCGCCAATGTTCTAAAAGGATATTTTATATGTATTAAACACAATTAAATGGGAATTGTTCGTATTTAGTATAATGAAGCACTTTTGGTATCATGTCTTATTCCTTTTTTTATTTGCCTTTTCATTCATTCTTTTTCGGTTCCGTCTTTTCGTTTATCTTTCTATTTCTCTCCTCGTTTCTTTTCTCCATTATTTTGTTTGTTTCTTTCTTTCTTTCCATTTTATTTTCCCTTCCCTCTTCTACTTATTCACTTTCTCTGTTGATTTAATTCATTTTTATTCGCTTTTTCCCATTTCTATTTTATATCTTTGCTTTTTATATATTTCTTTTTTTTCCTTTTCTCTTGTCATTCTCTCTCTCTCTCTCTCTCTCTCTCTCTCTCTCTCTCTTCAGTTTTTTTCTTCTTTTTTTTTTCTTTTTTTCTTTCTTTTTTCTTTCTTTTGTTTTTCATTTTTTTCCTTTTTTCTTTTTTATTTCTTTTCTTTTTCCTTCTTTTTATTTCTTTCGTTTTTCATTCTTTTTCATTCTTCTTTCTTTTTATTTATTTTGTTTATCATTCTTTTTTCTTTTTTTATTTCTTTCGTTTTTCATTCTTCTTTCTTTTTATTTATTTTGTTTATCACTCTTTTTTCTTTTTTATTTCTTTTGTTTTTCATTCTTTTTCCTTTTTTCTTTTGTTTTGTTTTTCATTCATTTTCCTTCTTTATTGTCATTCTTTCGTTCCTTTTTATAATTCTTATTCATTTTCTATGATTGATTTCATTCATTTTTTATTCGCTTTTTCCATTTCTATTTTATATCTTTTATTTATTTTCTTACCATCTTTGCTTATCACCATTTTCCGCTTTTTTTTCTTCCTTGCTTTTCTGCTTGTTTTTCTTCTTTTTGATTTCCATTCTTCCTTCTTACAATTTCCTTCATTTTCTTTTTTTCTCATTTCATTTTTATTTATCTTCTTTGTTTTTTTTTCATTTTTTATTTTTATTTTTATTTGTTTTCTTACTCTTCTTTCTTTTGTTATTTCATTTCTTTCTTGTTTTTCTTTCTTTCTTTTTTCAATTATTTTCTTTTCTTATTCCCTCCCCTTCTTTTTCTTTTTCGTTTTCTCTAACTTCTTTTTTTCTCAGTTCTATTCATAACCACTTCTAATTTTTCTTTTCATTCTCATTTCTTTCCTTCGTCTTTCCTTCCTTTTGCTGTTCATTTTCAATTCTGCTTTCTTTCCTATTTCTATATTTTTTCTTATTCATTTTTGCTTTCTTTATTCTTTTTTTATTTACTCTCGTCTTTTCATTCTGTCGTTAATATATTCGCTCTTTATTAGTCCTTTTTTGACTTTTTTTATTCTTTTTTTTTTCCTCTGATTTTTTTTTACATTTTTCATTTCTGGCTTTTGTCTACATTCAAATCCGTTTCATTCTTAATCTTTTCTTCATTTTCATTCTCTAAATTTAATTCTCTCTTTTATTCATATTCTAATTATTTTCATTGCATTTTTCTGCTTTTTTTTTTTCTTCTTCGTTTTTCATTCCATTGAATTAATTCTACATTTAATCCATACTCCTATTTTTCATTCATTTCATTAATTTTTTCTTTTTTCTTTTTCATTCTTTGTGTTTATTTCTTTCATCTATACTCCATTCTTTTCCTGCTTTATAACAAAAATAATCGTCTTTTTCCTTCTTTTTTTTCCTTTCATTCTTTGCTTAATTCTCTCTTTCATCGAAATTGCAATGTTTTTTATTCGTTCGTCACTTTTTTGTGTGTTTGCTTGATTATTAATCAATTTATTCTTTTGTATTCTGGTTCATCTTCCCTCTCTACGTTTTATGTCGTTCATTCATTTATTCATTCTCTCTTTGTTCCTTTATACCTTTTTATTAAAAAAAAACCCCCAAAAAACAAGAATGCATACAATATTCTTCTCTTCCAATTTGATATTATCACCGTTCTGTCTGAATTCCACATCCCAAAGGATTCGACCGAAAAGTGTCAATGTTTGTAAAGAGTTGGAAAAATACCGTTACAGCTTCAATATTAACACAGTGTCATGGATGCAGAAGTTAGAACAGACTCAAATAGTGCAAACACATTTCCTCAGAGAAATTCAACGAATTTGGAAGGCTAAGCTTATAGAAACAATTCTATAAAAAACAAACTTCTATTTACACACCACAGCTATTAGAAATAAAATTTAAAAACGAGTATTCCTAATATAAAACACTGTCAGAATGACATCACTGGCATGCCAGAAGGCAAAGTACTAATAGTACTAGGTTACACAGTACTAACGGGTGAAAGAGCCACATAACCCTCTCAACGATTTTGATATATCAATGTTAGGAGCGTTGTCAATGTGGGAATGGTTGCCATGATAACTGCTGATCGACACGGAGTATATTTTATGCTGGATTTCAAAGCATAAAAGGCTTGAGATTTATTTAAGCTATAGAACGCAATTAATAAGGAGGACAGTAAAAAAAAATATACAATTCAAGGAGACAGACGATTTTGCATTAAACTTTTGAAGATCGCAGTGGTCAGTAAAGAAGGAGACCAGAAGATGATGGATAATGATTGATCCTTGATTTGGAGAGATTGAAATGTTTATGGGAGTTACCACACAGGACTCTGTTCCAAAAAGTTCTTACGAAAAAAAAAGTTGTGTTCCCTCCTTACATTTAGAATATGAGGAAAATGAGGATGATTCTTTTCCGTGGAATAGCGTGACGCGTTCTAGCTGTAACAGTCTGAACTCAAAAATCGAGCTCATCTGAACATTTGACACGGAAATCGCGACAGATTGGTGTTATAATGCGCTTCGTAGCGATTATAAGTAATCCTTGCCGTGACGCCTGTATTAATTAGTCTGTAGACTGACCACAAACAGCTTTTTTGTTTTCCTTACCTTTGACATGGAGCTTTTTATTTGTAGTTATGAACTAATTTATATAGTTTACCAGGGGTGTACTATTTACTCCATAATAACCCGCTTCTGAGATTAATACTTTTTTTTAGTAATATGTATTTACAGTATTTTTCATACTCTATCGGAGATATTTTCCTCAACAAAAATCTCATTTTCCTCTCATCTTCCCAGCCGCTGCATTCCTTACCGAACATATTTCATATCTATGAAAATACGCAGAAAGAGTCAATCCTTCATTAAGATTGTATACAAATTCTGATATGGGAATTTGGACAATGTCTGGCATAAGAAACTTTGAAGATTTTTTTTTTGTTTTCTTCAAAATTATATCCAACAACTCCTGTTGTTGTTTTTTTGGTTTTTTTGTTTTCTTCAAATTATATCCAACAACTCCTGTTGTTGTTTTTTTTTTTTTTTTTCTTCAAAATTATATCCAACAACTCCTGTTGTTGTTTTTTGGTTTTTTTTGTTTTCTTCAAAATTATATCCAACAACTCCTGTTGTTGTTTTTTTTGTTTTTTGTTTTCTTCAAATTATATCCAACAACTCCTGTTGTTGTTTTTTTTGGGGTTTTTTGTTTCTTCAAAAATTATATCCAACAACTCCTGTTGTTGTTTTTTGGGGTTTTTTTTTTTTTCAAAATTATATCCAACAACTCCTGTTGTTGTTTTTTGGGTTTTTTTGTTTTCTTCAAAATTATATCCAACAACTCCTGTTGTTGTTTTTTGGGTTTTTTTGTTTTCTTCAAAATTATATCCAACAACTCCTGTTGTTGTTTTTTTGGTTTTTTTGTTTTCTTCAAAATTATATCCAACAACTCCTGTTGTTGTTTTTTTGGTTTTTTTGTTTTCTTCAAAATTATATCCAACAACTCCTGTTGTTGTTTTTTTGGTTTTTTTGTTTTCTTCAAAATTATATCCAACAACTCCTGTTGTTGTTTTTTGGGTTTTTTTTTTTTTGTTTTCTTCAAAATTATATCCAACAATTCCTGTTGTTGTTTTTTTGAGTTTTTTGTAGTTCTAGCAACTGTTGATTTGTTACTGTTTCTATTTTTGTTGTTGTTGAATTTCTGCTATCGAGGCGAAAATTTGCATCCATATTCGCAAGAATATGTTTTTCCTATACCAAAAAATATTCTTCGACACAACATTTTTTTTTTAAACCACCGTGGTTAAAATTCTTTTTATCACCCGTATCCTTGTTCCCGAAGCGAGAAGTATATTTTTCCGTACTTGTTCGCTAAGTACGTGTTTCCAAAATCTTTGTAACTCCAGTTACAACTCGTATGAGTTCGTGAATCCTCGTTATTGTTATAAGTCGTAAGAGTTTCGAATCCTTGTCACAACGGTAATCAATTGCCTGAATCCCTCGCTGTCATAACGGACTTCATAGCCCTTATAATATAAATAATGCTTCAGCTAATTGCCGAAACGATTGTATTAATTAGTCTGAAGACTTAGTGCAAGCAACTTCTTCTAGTATTTACCAAACCTACTGACAAGGCAGGATTTTTAAGACCCTGCATACACTCTTCCCGTAGGCATTGCCTCGTCTGGGTTCCTCTCTGCCCAGTCAACCGCGAACTTGGCAGCAAACTGCCTGATTCCAAACGACTTCTCCGTCTTATCGCTGTCTTAGAGTTCTTTATTTATAGATATGGAGTAGTTTATATAGTCACAGGGAGGGGATGTACTATTTACTTCACACAGATAGCGACAAGCTTGTAATATTGTGTTATGAAGGAACGAGGCTGTAGAGTGGAGAATGTATATCTCACCCTTCATTACCACCACCACCACCACCACAAAACCACGAAATGATTTTGGATTCTATCAAGTTTATAAATCTCAGGGCGGATTGTTTTTATACGTTTTCCAATTCTTTTCTCTGCAAAATGATTGTAAACATTCTTAGCCAGAATTGGAAGTCAATTTGATGGTTTCTTTCTCTATGAAAATCTTCCACCTTCTAAATTACTTGCTCTTGGCAAGGGTGGCAATGGCTGATATAAAGATTTTTTTTCTCTTTCTCTTGCTTGGGAAATAATGTAGTTATGCCGCAGTGTTTTTAATGTGTTCCATTATTTTTTTTAATCTAACATTATTTCTTATTACTCTAAATACTTATTACTTTGTGGCTAAACATGTTTGAGTAGACGCCCTGTTTTTTTGTTTTTTTTTTTATTATTATTCTCTTTGTCCAAGCAGTCCCTATAAAGAGGGAAGCAAGTTCAAACCCTGGTGGAGAGCACATTCTCTTTAATGCCCAGGCTGGTAGACATAATTAGCACTTTAAAATTAAATGAAACACTGCGTTTACCAAAAGACGTGTATACAAATTTAGAGGAGGGATTTCATCTAGTGCGCCCGGGCGCACTAATACGCCCTGAAATCTAACCAGGTGCGCCCTATGTTAACATAAGAGTAATTTATGAATTATTTTTACATTTAAAAAAAAATCTTTATGTTTAAAAAGTTAGAGACACCAAGCACATGGCTTCCCTGTCTAAGTCAAGTCTTTGTCATTTGATATTTTAAACTGGAGGCTAAATTCATTAATCTTTAACAAAGAAATAATCCTTTCTCTTTTGCCTTCCTCAAAGGATTTAAATCAGTCATTATTGGCCTCACTAAAAAATAAATAACAGTTTCTTTTTAAACCCCTTTAAAAGAAAACTGTGCTGCTAATCCACTTTGGGAAGGCGAAACCAAAAATGTCATATTTTCAAATTCCATGATTATTTTTTCCTTATTAAAATTTAAAATGTGCCCCAGAGTTTTAGTTATATTACAAGTGCACCCTGAAGTTAAAAGTGTTGCGAAAG